TGTTACCCGTACTTTGTGGTTGATGTCCAATGGCAAGAGGTGTCTTTAAACCCCCCAAACACTACACTGTTGAGTCTATACGACCGATGCCAACATATTCTCTTCCGTAGACGGCCAATCTTAGCATCTTCACGGATCTTCATCTCTTTCCTGTCAGTGGCGCTGAGAGCTTGTTTAATAGATGCATAATCGATAGACTCTTGGTGCTAAACGTCGCTGGTAACGTTGACAAGCACAATATTAATGTCCGAGTCCATTCTCGAAACATGACAACACGCAGAGAAGTTTATACATGCTATTATACATTGAGTGGGTTTCTGGGTATTCCAGACCTCCATTTCTCCAAGTACTCTCTGTGATCTGCCTCCTCCTTCGCACGTCTTTCCTGTGCTGCCTTCGAGTTACCCCAGAAAAATAGCATAACATCATGCTCATCCCAGATGTCCTGAGCCTCTGATTCTACAGCCGTCGCTGCACTAGTCCCCCCTTCATTCCTTCCTCCTGCCTGCTCCATTCCAGCTCCAGCTCCCTCTCGCTCTTCCTCCCGCCTCCGCTTCTCACGCTTCTTGATACTGGCGCTACGATCATGTTTTGCCTTCGATGGCCCCATTGGCGCCGGGGTAGGTACTGGTGGGCGGTTAGGCTGGTGATATTGGATGAGAACAGCAACGTTCTTGCCCCAATTCTTCACGGCAGCGGCTCCATATCTATAATGTAGCAAGAGTCGGGCAGGCTTTTGTCGACGGTTCGCAAAAGTGGCATCATTGTTGTTAGGTATTCGCTCCCGAGTAGATCTGCTGCTTGGAGTAGTGATCCACTGAAGTGTATATCGAGAATTGGGCGGGTAACTGACGTCGTCTTCTAGCCGACGCTGGCAGCGATTAGGGATATCGGTGGTGTCCAGGATAGGATTTGGAGTCTGATGTAAATGAGAAAAGATAAGAAGGGAAAAGAAGAGCAGACGAACGACAAGCACGGCAATCCTCTGTTGGTCAAGATGGCTATGAATGTCAGGAGCAGCATAAAAACCGTTGCGAATATCATTGATGCTGCGCAGCGAACTCAGATTCTCTTCGGTTGGCCGGTTCTCGATGATGAGTTGTATCCACTGTAGGAAAAACCAAATTAAGTGACATGGAAGGGAACAATGCGTGGACATGCCTCGTCGCCTCGTGCATAAGGAATAATATGCATCCCAACCCCGTCATCAACGCCAGTCCACACACATCGACCATCGCGCTTTAATACCTTCTCACGAAAGTTTTCGCGGGTAGCTGTAGTTGCGGAGTTTGTATGCGTTCGCTGTTTGATGACCTCGGGGTCAACTGCGTGAGAGAGGATGTTTCCACCAGGCACATCGTATCGGTAGACTCCCCGATCCACCAGCTCGCCGTCCAATTCTACCGCATCTCCAGTCTCATCGACCAGGCTCCCACTAACGCCTAGGACGCACCAGCCAATATACCAAAGATATTTTAACGGGTATAGACAGACCGTCGTTGCGATTTGCATAGGAACTTCCAAGTAAAATGAATCTTGAGGCAACAAAACCAGCTGAACAAAGCCTGACGGCGGTGCGGGGCGAGACATGTGGATGATGGTGATGGTCGGAACAAAGTCCCACCACGGATCACAATTCACTAAGAGCTAGTAATACTTTCTCACGCACCCCTTTCCATGTCAGATGGACCAGCACTTGGTATCAGATCCTTTTTTTGTTCAACTGAACCCTCGTACCTCAGGTGGCGAAAACGTACAGTTTATATGCAGGCTGGCAGGTATCCTATATCACTACACGCTAGTTCATGGACGATACCAGCTGAGAACAATGCAAACACAGTCTCAAAAAGGTCACCGCTGCTTTATTGTTCCTGTTCCGATCCGCGCCCCTCTTTATTCCTTTGTTCTGCTTGCTATAATATATAAAACAGGCAGGGCACCATCCCTTCCCTCCACCAATGCACTAACAATGTCTATATCCAAGTTAGATTTCGCCGAACTAACCGACAAGACCCTTATTTCAGACTATGTCGCCGTGAGTCTCGTCTCTTCGACCTCGTTTATTTTCTCTAATCTCTATTTGCCAGGCTCATAATATGCCTCACACCGTCGCATTCCATAGGGGCACCTTTGATTCGTATAATCTGCCTGCAATCACGAAGCGTCTCTTCCCCGCAACATCCAATCCTGTTCCGATTCCATTACTTGCCAATCATGTTTGGGTAGCACAACTCGACGGAAAGTGGAGACTTGAGTGGTACTCCACCGCCGAGACATTTCCTGACCCGCCTGAAGGTGATGTCGACGACGATGATTCGGTTCCCACGTTGAACTATTACCCGCCTGATGGCCTTCCAGTCAACTCTAGCGTTGACCTGCCCGACGAGGCCCGCAAGCTAGAAGATGGGAGGTCAGAGGTTCACAGCGCGCTGGCGGAGCTGAGGACGGCGGTCTCAAAAGCCGCCCTCCTATACACGCAGGCCAGCCTAGCTCTAGAAGAGGAGAGAGCGAAGACTGCGTCGCTCATGACGTTTGTTACAAGCATCTGTGGGAAGGCGTACGTGGAGAAGATCATGCGGATAGTGAATTTGGTAGATACCAATGATGATGCTAGCTCAAGAGAGCGGCGGCGAGTCCGGTGGCAACATCAAAAGTAGCAATAATTTCACGCAGAAAAAGCTCCAGCCTTCTCCGTAAGTACTTGTTTGCTATGTATATCTCTGCTTCATTTCATGATTTGCATCAAGGTGGCGAGCTGGGGTAAATAAGGCGCAGTTTGGAGATCTGGATTGGGCGTGTGTTTCTTCTTCATACTTTCACATAACCTTGTCTAACGGACAACAGGACAAAGATGAAGGGAGCCTCAGACACTTTGATAGAGGACGTGTACGCGGTACTGATGCCTCCTCCAAAGTATGTCATTCGCTCTGTCGTGTCCACGGTGATAAATGTCAACAGTTTCCTTCCCCGTAGGACTACCAATGATGTAGGACAATCTGACGCGTCAGATGCTTCGAGTTCGACAGCAAAATCTCCTCGAACGCCCCCCCGTTCCTCTGAAGACGAAGACGCGTGTACCAGTCCCAAGCAGGTCAAAACCAGTGTCGAAGAAGGAGGTCGTGCAGAAGCACAAGTCGAGTCTTCCTGCGCCGCCGCATTGCAAAGACAGAACCGTCCCCGACTCAGAGATGACTCCCTTGATGACATACACATAAATACCAGTCTCAAACGCCAAATTATTAAAGAACGCTTTCCCGTTGATTTGGACGAAGAACCGTTGAACGCTGGTACGTTCGACAGTCCTCGCTTTCCAGTCAACCTCCTAATTCCAATTTTCTTCCGAAACAGGCCCTCAAGAATCTCGAAGACCAAGAAATGTACCCCCCTGCGAAGCCCACAGTCCCGTAGCTCCTCTCCCACAGGCATCAGACAATTCTAATTCCGATCCCGAGGACTGCAACTCGGGTTAGATTTGGACTCATCAAGCCCCCGAGATCATGGAACAAAGTCTTCGAGAACGGAGTCTCTGCTGCGATAGTGTGGCGCACCAACCCCCCTACTTCCCCCCCCTCTGCGGCTCCGGCCGAGGAGTCCGTCTCTGCGAGAGGCCAATTTGCACGCCAACCCAACCTCCTATCCTCTGTCATCCTCATCAGGCTCAGGTCTTAACGCAAGCAGACCTCCCCAGGCAATTTATATGGGATAGGTATCTACGAGCGAGAAGACGGGACGCCAAGCAGCTCAGCTGAATATCCGTCAATCATTGAGAATTTTTTCGACATGAACTCGTTCTATGAGAAGGAGCCCTACTCCACGTTTTCCCTGTACTCAGAGAAGAAGACAGTGGAACATTTGTCGGCTCACAATGTGGATCGTAGGTGCGTTTATGACATACATTTAACAGACGAGTGGGTGGAGGAGTATTGTGACAGGCATTTATTGCAACGGAGTCCGTACGAATAGTGAACAACAAAATAATATCTTGGGTATTCTTGCGTATCTTGTAGAATGTCATTGCGGAAAATGGAGCCAGGACTTTGATTACTGCGTCGTAAGAAGGCCCAAGGATATTGAAAACCCACCTAAAATACTACAACAAACGTTTTAAATATTACATTAATAATCGACAAGTCAAACCCACTGTTATAGAATGGTCATCCCTGCAAAGTTATAAATACAAATTGCTGTGAAAAGTGGGTTAAGCGACTATGGAAAGAGTCTGAGGTTCAGAATGTTGGTTAAACGAAAGGTCAGAGAGCTTTTCCGAGACGGGGATATCGGCGGTGGTAGTTTGCTCTGATGATGCTTCATCGAGCCTTAATTTACATTCACATCAGTCAAACTGTGACGAGGTCGAAGCGAAGAGGCACTGACAGGGTATTCGACGGTGACTCCGACTCTCCTTCTGCGCGTGTTCCATCTGGGGCTACACGACACGCTCTGGAAATGGTTCGTGATACGTATGCAGCAACCCGACAGCACAGCGGGTACTTACGCGACGATCTGACTCCAGTAGCTGTGTGGCTCGAACTCGTAGGGAAATTCACCTCCGAAATCGGCATCCAGATGTGATGCCGGGATGAGTTCCAGAAGATTCGGATTGAAACGCATCTGCAGATATTCATCATTTTGACTGTCATTGTTATGAAAGAAATGGAAGACTCACCTTATCCCGCGTAACCGGATCAAGAAACGGTGAGATACCCTTGTAGAAGAAACTGAGGATCATGGGAAGGTTCACTACCAACGCACGACCCAGAGTCTCCACGTAATGTTGTTGTAGGATGTGTAGGACCTGGTTGGCAGAATTAATTGTCTCGCCATCAACCTATCGCCTCACGTACGCACTCACCTTACGAGCAATGGATATAGAGGGATTGGTTCGCAATGTAGTACTCTTGTAGTCGACAATAATGACAAGGGATTCTTGCCCTGGAGGCATTAGATCTTTCGCGCGTTCTCTGTCGAGCGTGTTACTCTCAAAGATAAAGACAATCAAAAAGAACGCGAACAGACACCACACCAAATGCCGTAGTTGACGGGGGCTTGACTCAGTATTTTCTCGTCCTGGACGCATGTAGATAATCGGACGGCCGTCTTTGTCAAATCCATTGATAATACTGGCTGGAATCAGCTACCGTGAAAGAGGACTTGGATGAACGCTCACATCTTCCCGGTTTCGCTTTCAATCCTAACTTCATCGGGGGGTATCAAATCGGGTTTGAAATCCCTGCGCCATTCGACTGTAGCCTTGATACGCTTTTGGGCGTCAGGATAATTCCACTTGGCCGAGCGCATGTATCTAGGCATGGTATCTGGCTTATTCAGCCATCGGAGCTCCCACATATGATAAGGGTCACTCTCTGGCAGCAAAAGACTGTGGGCATACTGAAAAAAAGGGAATAAAAAAAACAGGAATTCAGAATTTGACCTCGGGTAAATGAACGAAAGCTTGAAATCACGTACCTCCCCCAACGCAGCTATTTTGGCCTTTTGTTCGTCGGTGTATTCATGGATAGGCGCAACTTTTGTGCCCGCCTCTGGGGTGACGAGGACTTTGTTCGTGGTAGACATGAGGGGATGAAAATGTGAATTGAAGTAAGCGCCGAAGGTGATGAGAGAACGGACCGTATTACGTGGATAGCTCCAGTCATACCCGGTGCGTCATTCGATTTTTTTCTTGGCACCTGAGGTCCGATTCTCCGACTGTTCCTTGCAATGATGCCTCCGATGATTACTCACCACCCTGCGTATTACAGTTATAGCCTACGGTAAGGCTTATGAAAAAAGAAAAGAAGGGGAGATGTCTTTCAACCTTCTGAGACTTCGTGAAGAGTTGTGAAGACGTCGTGGAAGACTCGTGGAGTCGTGGTGTGCTCTCGTGACCGTCTAACCCGAGATACTTACTCCGCCCCAGGGCGTCAGTGCCGAGTCCCGACTCGGACAACAGCACGGAAACCTCATGCCAGTTAGCCAGAGTCGCACCGATACACGAGAAGGATTGGTTCGCATAACCCCAAGTGTCGGCTGGCCGCGGCGAAGACCCGGACGAGTGTGTTTCAATCCTGAAATTACCTCATAAAGCTACATAAATAACCCATTAGATATTCGATAAAATAATGCAAATGCGACGCAACCGGTTACCGGCCTCCTATACAATGCTCTGCGAGCTCGTCTCACTCCCCGCTCTAGCTGTAGCACCAACACCCGAACCCAACAGGCTTTGCAGATCAAACGAATCCGCTGGTTGGACATAGAAACCCTCGACAGAGTATGTCCTCAACAGCTCTTCCAATGAGCACGTACCTACCTCGAATTAGCCCGACTCGGCGCAGCAAAAGGTAACAGTCGACGACTCACTTGCTTCTGCAGCCTCCTTCGCCATAGAGGCCCTCAACGATGTTTCAGTGGGCGGTCTTGTATTCAAATCCGATGCTATGAATGATTGTAATTCCGAGGTCTCTAGACGGAGAATAATTGACGCTCACAAGTAAACCTCCTTAGTAAGCCTTTGTCGGGAAGAGATATGAAAGTTTTCTTAGACGGATCGATCCTCACACGTCCCAGCCCAACCGCCTTACTATCCAGAATTCCAGAGACGTATGATATTCCTGCCCAATAATGTTCCATGTGCTGTATCGCTTTGATAAGAGCAGATAGGTTCTGCCGTGCCAGCGATGTCAACAGCAACTCAGCTGTGGGAGGTTTTTGGGTAAGTTCCATCATGCTGCTTATCCTCAGGTCATGAATGAAAGCCAGGCTAGCTCTACATCAGTATCTGCAGCGCTGCAGATCATAAGGACCAGGACCCACCACGCGATATATATGGGCTGAACCACAAACGGATTTGATAACTAGGCACAACAGGTTAGTACATGGCTTGGTACATGGGACAGTGCCCAAGGATGCAAAAATACCCACATAAGACTGAGAAGCGAATAAGTCGGCAAAGACCAAGCATTCGCTGATAGTCCTCGCGCTCGACATGGACAGCTTGATTGACCGATCCATATTTTGCGACAGAGGCGTTTCCATCCCTGACGGACTCGTAAGTAGCTCCGGATGGTACACCAATGTCATGACCGCATTAGCCCAAAGATGCAGCGCCAAAAATGTGCCCTGGCAATATATTTTTCTATAAGCTCATGCACCACCGATGTTGCTAAGCACTCACACCATGATTTCGTGCTTCTTGTCGCCTGAAATTCTCAACGCTCCACTTCATTTCCTCCGGAAGATCTGCATAAAACTGCACGAGCTGGCCCTGAAGCCCACTTAGCAAATCCACGCTTGGTTCACTTGGGCCCACTAGAGTCCGTAATCTCCCTCGTCGTCCATTCAATACGTTTGCTATCCGCCCACACAAAACCATCAACCTGACCCAATGCTGGAATGGGCTTGGTTGCATTTTCTCCGGAGGATCGCCTGTGCGCGAAGCAGGATCGGGAAAGAAATCTTCATCAGTTGGCAGGGGAATTTCAATTATTTCTTCAGATATGGAGGGCGGCCGGCCAGTGGAAAATGCAAGTATTCTGTCCTGCAATATTAACGGGTGAGACCTTGAAGCTTCCGAGTGATTTCTGGTCCGATATTACCGTTATGAAGAGATTCCAGAAGAGCAAACGCGTCCGGACGACGTGTGCCAACGATTCATATATCTCAGATATCTACAAGCCCGTCAAAATGAGACAAAGACAAAGGCCCAGAAACAAACCTCATGCAATCCTAGGTCCAAGGCCATCCGTATCGCCATACTGTCGATAAATTAGCGTCATAGCAATTGGTACAACAAAGGATGAAAATACCCAGAATATTGCTAGGACATCTTTCAGGTCAGAATTCCACAATAAGTGAGATAGAAGTTCACCCATAGTCCGCTCTCCGAGTTCTGCCCAAAATTTGCCCAAGCTAGAAGCAGCAGGCCTGTTACTACGTCCGTTGTGGGTAGATGAAGAAGGGGGATAATGAGCTCTTGCGCTTTCGTTATGAAAGGAGCACAAGTCTGTCTTCTAGGTCAGAAAAAAGATTTGTACTACGAACGTAGCGAACCTTTGCAGGAGATTGAGTCCCTGAGGGATGAAACCTAGTGAACGTCAATTACATGATAAACCCAGCACTCCGAAAACCAGCACGTTGCTGCGGGGAGAAATGGGACCTATAGAACCCATCTTCGTCTCTTGGAACGTACCAGCGGCGGAGGTGTAATCATCAACGACGTAGCTCACCTCGCACTGACTGCACATATACAATTCAACAAGAACGCTGACATTGTGCCTGTCTCCAGCCTGAACTCCATCCTTTTCCTACTTACACTAGGAAAATATGCGCTCATTGTGCGGAAAAATGTATCGAGCAGAGGTAGCCGAATATGCGGCAATGGCAGTCCAGCCTCATCGAACATTTGCTCTGGCGGCTCTGGAGAGCCAGGCTTAGATTGAGCACTGGGCACTGGGGCACTCGCGCTTGATCCAGCAGTCCTCGGCTGAAGTTTTAATGAGATCCGATTGATGCCCGGATGAATTGCGGTAGATCCGGACTGGGCACAGTTGTAAATGCAAACACTAACCCAAAATAAAGAACCTACAAAACGATAATAATACAGTTCCAGTTCATCTGATTTCGTGGGATCTCCATCAATGTAGGCAACTTGGGACTCGAGAGCGCGCACAAGATTGGCAGTCTGTTTTTCTGGCTGACCACTGAGTTGTGGGAATGGAAAATTCGGGGTCGTAGGTGTCTGGCTCATGACGGAGGGTCCTGGTATAGGCCATATATACGACGACGATGACACGGGCATAGGGAAATCCCACATGTTAGCCGCACTGAGGGATTGATCCAAGACACCACTGGTTGTCTTGTATCGCGTGAGTCTAGGCAGGCATCAGAAGGTAGAATTGCACTCACCCAAGAAAGTGAAGGCGACATCTCACTCCGATTTAGATCATGTAGACCTTCTGAAACCTCGACGTCCTTTTGATCCCTTTCCCTCTGCCTACGTTCCTCTTCCTCCATTTCCTTCCGAGTTCGTTTCCGCCGTCTGCCACTGGGCCAAGTACATTCTTCACCAACTTTGGAACAGGTACGGCAGACGGGGCGCTCTCCAGAGCATCTTGCACGCTTGATTCTACACCTATGGCAGGCTAGAGGTACACGCTTTTCGATCGCAGGGACGGACCCCCTGTTGGTGAGATTCGCGACATCGGCGCTGCTGTCTTCTGGAGACGCGTCCTGAGATTTTGGAGATGCGCGACGCAGTTCAGCGGGTGACTGCGAACTCATGGGATACAGTCGAGATGGGGGTTAAGTTCAAGCAGAAATTTGAATTTCGAAATACATTTGTCGACATGGGGGTGGCTGTACAAGGATCCAGGGCACAGCTTCACAACTGTTCGCAAGTCCATCTTTAGACAACAACTAGAACCTGATAAGATACGCGACAGGGCGGATTGCTTATTTAAACTGGAAATACTGCTTCCAACGGGGCAGTGGGTTTGATTTTCTGCTGAAGTATCGTGGAGACATCATATTTATTTTCGAGGTAGCTCAGCAGCAACGCCAAAAATTGGTTCGGATTCAAGACAACTCGTTATTAATACTAAATACATAAATCGTAGGATGGGGCATTAAAATAGAACCATTGATGGCAATTTCGTAAAATCTTTTAATACTCGGTCCGACTCTGCAAGCGCCCGAGGATGGTCAAGGTATAAAGCTTATGCGCTAGAATCTCCGGCATCAACATCCTTGACGTGCTTCACCGTCGCTAAGTCATCGTTAAGACCTTGAGATGGATATCTTTTCAACAGAACCTTCAATATCTGTGCAGAAACAGCGAGAGTCAAGACAAAAGCGCTACGCTGCTGTCAGTATACACAGCAGATTCAAGACATTGAAGGACATACGTCGTCGTAGCAAATCCTTGAACATATTTTGGTCCTGTGTTACTTGGCCACAAGAATGACCCATAGATCGACGCAGAGTTACCCAGTCCATTCACGATGGCAATGGCTATCGCCCTCTTCTCCGCAGGATGATCAATAACACTCGATACCCACTAGGGTAGGATTGACATCCTCAGAAAACTATCTGCCGTATGAACACGTAAAGAACTCACCAGCAATGTCAGCGGACATACAGCATATATACCCGCAACAGCGAAGCACAAGAAAGCATACTTCACTTTCTGGTTATCGACTGCGACCGTGATGATGAATGATATACCAGCAATCAGGGCAGTAATTGTTACGTAGTTGCCTCGCTCCTTCCTTATATCGGAGACGAAACAGAAGCATACGATACCGACAAGCGCTACTATGTATATTGGGATAGTCATGTACTGCTTGACGTAGCCTTAAATGACACTTTGAGAATCATCCAAGTCACTTGACGGTCCCACTCACCAGTGTACCCAAGTTGCCCGACGAGCGAAGGAATGAAATACTGAATGGTCTGTGCGCCGGTCGCAAGCATGTACATGAAGGATAAAGCCCAGGTGCGCCAGTCATTGATGGCGAGGTAGAATGCCTCCTTGTGAGATGGGGAATCTGATTTACCAATGGCAGTATTTCCAATCCCATCATATGCAAGACGCTGGATTGCAATAAACTAAGGGCCAAACCTCATCAGATGAGTTATAATAACGAACCAGTGATATCACCCACCCTTTCCTCAGAAGTCAACCATTTTGTTGTGCTAGGCCAGTCTGGGAGAACCATCCAGGTAAAACAAGCTAAATAAACGATTAATGGAAGGAAAACATAGAAATGTACTTCATACGGACCACCAAAGGAAGAAGCCACCCCTTCAATAAGCAGAAGCCATCTAGATTGTCCGTTATGACACCAGCAAGTAGGCCAGAGAAGGCACCCTAGAGATCATTTGTCAACGATGTTACACGCATCGAAGGGAGGGAATGTACAGAATCGGCAGTTGCAGTATAATAAATGGAGAATCTCTTGGCCAGTTCATGCCTCTTATACCACGAGCTAAGGTAGAATGCAATTCCGGGAGCGAATCCCGCCTCAACGATACCTAGACAGAACCGGACACCAGCAAGTTGTCGATAGTTGTTTACCGCAGCCATGCAAGCTGCAACAGCGCCCCAGACAAAGCAAAGGCCTGATAGACTGATAAACATAAAAAGGGAAAGAGCGTCTTTAACAAAACTGACATAAGAGAAAACTGCCAGCTTACTAGTAAGAGGGTCTCAAGCGTGTAAGTAGCATATTTGCCGGTACTTCGAATAGAACATATGAGATCTGCAATCAAGATACTCAATTTCGGCTTTGCTTCCAAGGGGACAAAAACACCTACGAAGAACACCAGTAATATTATTGAGTACTGGTTGGACGTCAAGCTCAGGGCTTCCTCCATCCCCCCGCTCTTCGCATTTCCAATATTGGCCCGGTCTTTTAGAGCATGTGGTTGATGAAGAGACAGTCTTGAGCGCAGATCAATACTTACCGAGATATGATAGCGTGTACAGCACCCAAATTGCTGGGACCTTATCCAGAAGTCAGAAGGAGTTCTTAAGTCTTATGACAGAGAAAACGACGTACAATGTGTCTATCAATCTTCCGCACGAGTCTCTTCTCGGCCTCGCTTCCGGGCTCGTACACGACGTTGGCAAATTCCTCCTGCCATTCTTGCTCTGGCTTCCCAGAACCAGATACCATATTGTCGCGGTCTATTCAGAGGAGAAGATGATAGCCGGTAAAGAGTGGAAGGGAGCAGGGAGAGAGTGGGGTTGTGGGGAAAGCCTCCGAGGCCTTTTTGTGCCTTCACGAAAATTCGGGGCCGCGAATCGTTTCAATTTTCTATGTCCGATTCCCCGCTTACCCTTGGCTTCCCCAGTGTCGAAATACGGTCCCCGCACTGAGCAGCTAAAATTGCGGAATCATATCTATCCGGGGACACCAAATTGGCCACGGCCGAAAAAAGTTTTTCCCAGGTCGCTATGATTATTGGTGTATACACCAAGATGTTAGAAAGTGTCCTGCATGATTTATCTTGCGTCGTTCCGTGCCAAGTTTTGTCAAGTTCGCGTGAATACTTTCGTAGCTGTGGATGAACAGAGGAAGTGAGGGTTTGAAAGCTCCGGCCCGGCTACCCGAACCGGGTCTATATCCACCCTCACGGGGCCTGGTCTGAGCGATCCTTCCGTTCCCACAGCTGAAAGGATATACAACGTTCCGGCTCCTACATATGTCGAGAAGATACTTCTAGGTTCATATTTCGAATCTTGGCAGCGGTATCTCAGCCCCGCACCTACTTCTTGCTCTATTAACCAGCCATGTCCGAATCTTTGAAAGGCAACCGTACTCTTGAGATTCTGTTGAAGGCCGAGAGAGAAGGGTATGGTATTCTGGCACAGACTTGGTGTGTGTTATATATATAACTATTCAGAGGTGATATCTTACAAATTCAAAGTTATGATGCTAACTCGGTCATTGGGCTCGTACGAGCCGCCGAACGATCCAAATCCCCCGCTATTATCCAGCTCTTCCCAGTAACTCTGGCTTATGGGAAGGGTCCTTTCCTTCAGTTCTGCTTAGACGCGTAAGTCCTGCTTGATTGTACCAAAAGAAAATAATCTTATCTGCTGACGTAGTGCACACTCTGCATCTGTTCCCATTGCCGTGCATCTAGACCATGCCACCGATAAAGAGCATCTCGAGCTTGCAGTCGGCCTTGCCGAACAAGGCATCGCGTTCGATAGCATAATGGTCGACGCCAGCCACGCGGAGGTAATTGTCGTTCTTTAACTGATCAATCAAGCGATATGAACTCTTGATTCCATTAGACTGACGAAGAAAACATCGCAGAGGCACGGCCCTGGGTCGAGCGTGCTCGGAAGGTTGGCGTAGCTGTTGAAGTAGAACTCGGAAGACTGGAGGGCGGGGAAGCCGGACTACGCATGATTTCAGGGGCAAAGCTCACGAACCCGGCCAAAGCTGACGCTTTCATAACCGGGTACATCTTCTCTCGCCCGTTAGCAGTCTTTCCTCGTTTTTCTGACTCTGCACGATATACAGTACTGGCGCCACCATTCTTGCGCCATCTATTGGTAACCTTCACGGTTCATACATTAATCCGCCGAATTTTAACCAAGACATGTTTGTTGTTTTATCTGTTACCTTTGATAATTTCTCTCACGTTCACATAGTTTGAGGCAACTCAGGGCGACCTTCAGCGGTCGTGACGTTCCTCTTTGCTTGCACGGCACCGATGAGATTCCTGATGAGCTATTCAGGGAGTGTGTGAAGAGCGGTGTCAGCAAGGTATGACTCAGAATCAATTGTTGCCTCTATCTTGTCACTCATGTCATGTTTCTCAGTTCAATGTTAACTCATGGGGACGCGACCCCTACGTCGAAGCTCTCACAACTGGACTAAAGTCAAAGCCCTTCCCGGACGCTGTCGAGGAGGCCACTGAGGTCTTCGCCAAGGTTTGCGATAGGTTCTTCGTCTTATTTGATTCCGTGGCCAAGGCATAAGGTCAACCGAAAGAATATTCGCTTCATGAAATGATGTATAAGTACTTCCTGAAGCAAAATGAACTCAAACTACGAGGTATTTGGAACGCTGGGTTCGCGTCTGTCGTCGAATTGCCAACTCTTTGTTCTCGAGCGCTTGTATCCAAAAATTTTGTTCATACGGATCCTCAACATGATTCACTTCAGGACTGTAAGCCACCAGACTAGACAATTGGGTGCGTAACGGCCTGAGGAGACCCGTCATTGATGATAGTCAATGGTGACGTCTTTGTTATTATACTGAAATAATTCTGTCACTCACGGCTCCAATAGATTTTCACTACCTGCGATTCGATGAAAAGGCTTTTATCGAAATTGGCTATTGTCACGGATGTTCATGAACGTTAAAATGTTCGGCGCCATAGCACTAGCTTGTGCGGTAGGACTTTGACAATCTACCCTCTCAGGCGCGCGTTGCAGACTCAAAGCAATCTCACCACCGATTTGAATCGATCAACATCTGGCTCGATAGGCCCACTGTATCTTTCTTCTTGTTCGTGGTCCCGCACGCAGTACAGGATCATGAGTTACCAGTGACACAGGCCCGACATACTGAAACACTGAAACAAGCCAAACGAGGCGGTATCCTGGCAGCATATGCTGATCGCTATCGACCCTGGAGTCATACCTCCCGAGTCTTCAGGGAGCTTCAGGGAGGCCAATACTGCCTTAAAGTTTTTGACTTTCCACTTCTTCAGGAAAATTAAATACCTGACACACTTTACATTCCAAGGTGAAATTCACTAAGACCTCTTATAAATCGGAGATCTTATCTCGCATATCTTATTCTAACTTGCGAAGGACGTTTATTATCGTCGTGTTCTCATTTGTTTTTCATATATCTGCGCCACCTCAGCTGGAACTGTGCATTCTAGTAGCGCAACATTGCGTTCCTTTGCAGTCTGCACATATCGCATAAACGATTGTAGCCCTGAATGGTTGTTCTTATGCGATATGATTTTTATCTCTTCTGTCGTGACAGACTGTTGCCTAGCACAGACTGGGGCCAGGTGCTGACAGTGACGTCTTTGAGGGTTCGGTCCGCGGAACGATGCAGACTCACCGCTGTTCCGACCAATACTGACCACGCGTATGCGCGTTTTCTAAAACCCGGCATCATTTTTTCTGCGGAGTAGAACAAAGGAGGCTCGGGTGATCTACGTAGCGACGTTCCGGAAGGCAAGGAAGTAAGTCTTTTAGTACGCTCCTATATGAACTAGATAAAATGATCGATCGCGCCTTCACAGATAGATATCTGTACCGCCAGATGACGCGTTCGGGTCTACACTACCAGTAGGTGGGACATTTTCCTACTTTCACCAGTTCCTAGGTCTAGCCAAGGCCCCCATCCACTCTTGCTCCAGCAACGGTGTCTACCTCGGCGAATTACTCAGTCAACAAGGACAACAATTTGTCTGCAATATGCAAACCGAGGCGAAAAAGCGGCAGGACAGGGCTGCTCGATCAAATTTCCACTCTGACCCAGCTTCTTCTCCACCTTCGTCTCCTATTATCGCGGGCTTTTATTTAACGCGATGTGCGTGAAAACGCTCCCAAAGCGGGTCTCCCTCTCCTTCTTTCAACATGGATGTTGATACAGTCACCTCCAACTCACTGGGCGGCACGTAAGTGGAGCGAGTTGTACGGCCCGGGAAATTTCTTCTGACTTGCCGCAGCATAGGTCCGTTGTATATTGGAATGGTCTTGGCTGGAGCGTGAGTTGTACGATATGTCTCTTCGTCGCGCCACTCACCAACCTGTATCAGACTATGGGGTGGTGGGTTTATCTCTGTCGGCTGGCTGCATATCTGCGTTCTCACCATTTCCTCACACTGCGCAGTTTCCTGCGTACAGACTTGGTATTATTTCGACAACTACGGAAATGATCCTATCTTCCTCCGGGTGGTGGTGAGCCCTCGCCTAAGCTGCTTTCACCTGTCCCTCGTGCCGAATATTCCTTCAGGTATTCTGCACATGGTTGAGCGATACCATCCATCAGATTCTCATATCACAAGCTGGTACGTCCTTGCACCCGTGTGCAGTTACCAGTATATCGTTGATCAGATATCCTTAACAGTGTACAACTATACTATCACGCACTTTGGCGATACGGATAACCTGCAGAATGTGCTATGGTGCGTGCTCATAATACCCGACTGTCGTGCTGTTCATCTTCATCGTTCTGCAGGAGTCTTTATGTCTGTAGACTCACCAGTTAACAAAAGGATACGGCTGACTGCCGCATTTAGCTGGAAGCTTTATTCAATGCCATAACCGGTTTCTTGGTACAATCATTTTTTCTTCACCGGATATGGATATGTACGGCCTACTGCTGTCCTCGCGTGATCCTCTTCTTACCCGTTTCCAGTTCGCAAAAGTATCCCTATTACCTTCGTCATCGTGAGCATCTTTTCCTGTCTGAATTCCCCCATCTTGTTTAAATATCATCCAGGGTCTCCTTGTAATCGGAGAATTCGGTAAGATACCAGTCTCCTTATCGTTTGTCGTCATTCGCTCAAGGTTATGTGGGTGGACATTAGGTGTATCGATCAGTAAGCTCTTTGTCTGGTGATGTTTACTTCAAATTTTACATCTCGCAGCATATGTTGCTCTTGGCATGAACCTGAAGACGTTCACCGACCTCAACCAAATTAAGGGCGTCTCCATGTCTATCAACGCACTCGCTGCCGCCGGCGATATCGCTATTTCAGCCGCCATATGTACCATGCTGAATGCTTCGAAGTCTGGTTTTGCCTGGAGTAACCATGTAATCAACCGTTTGGTGCGTACCCACTTTGTGAGATTTCAGTCAATAGTCGGTTTATCCTAGGCTTAGATCATTTACTCAATAAACTCTGGACTGCTTACGTCTATATGTGCGGTCATGTCTTTGGTCACTGTGAATACTTTTTTTCATGATGATGCAACAATCAGCTCATTTTGAATGCAGATTCTGACAATGCCGAATAAGTTGATTTACTTCTGCTTCTACTTCCTCAGTGCGTTTCGGTTGATACCTTACCCGAAGCCACAGCTGATCTAGGTTTTATAGTTGGACGATGTGCGCATTCGGTTTGCTGACTTCGCGCGCACTAGAATGCTGACTTTGGTTGTCGCTAGTCTATTCGAATTCCCTCTTAGCGACACTTAACGCTCGGAAAGGGATACGTGCAATGCAGAGTTCATCTCGCGGTGAATCTCACTCATTGCAAGAACGAACTCAGGGCGGTCGATTAGCAGGCCGCCTTAATGGGTTGATGAACCAAGGGGATGTACGTGCTTTCAGAACAATGATAAATTTGTTTACTGATGCAGATGCATAGACGACTGGAATCCAGGTGCAAATTGAAACAATAAAAGCCCAGGATTATAGTGGAGAGGTCAGCATTGGGAATCTTGATGACCCAGATTCGTCAGCGCGTTCGGTGAAGGGAGAGTCCATGAAAGGAGAGCTCCCTTAGGTAAGGTTTGGGTAATATACCCGGTCAACATGTACAGCACACATAATAACTAGACGTCGACTCGAGAGATGAACAATCTGCATCTGACGCTTCGTTCGTAGACGATCAAGTGCCGGGCTAGGAACCCTGCGACGACGGTCGTCGTCGTCTAGGGATAGACACGGGAACAAAAACCGGGTGTTGTCCAAAGCTGAGCACTACTTTGGCTGCGAAAAAAGGGCTGCCACATCTGGAAATTCGTTTGTGACATTTATCCGAGGGCGGCTGTAACTTCCTCCGCGGTGCTGGTAGCAATTTACGTTAAGGATGATGATGATCACATCCGAACAACCTTTCAATAGCGGAAGCCATATCGAAGAGGTAGAGAGCGTCCTACAGCGGATGATAAGTTGCGATTAGTCTTGGGGACAACGCTAGCGCCGTCCAAGTGGCATACCCGCTGTCTCTGTCCAAGTCTCCCGCATCCTCGGGCCCGAAGAACAGTACTAGTACGTACTGTAGGCCTTGGCCATCATGCAAATTGTGGCGACTAGAATTATATTGCATCAGAAGTGGTTGGGCGAAATGAACGCCACTGAGGCACACCTGTCTCGCTAGATGGGAGGGAGCCTCCTCCGAGCTGGACCGGACTCCGCCTAAAATGAGGGTGAGGAAAGTGAATTTTTCTTCGCACATATGGAGGACTTGAGCTCGAGGTGCCTCGTGCCTCGTGCCGTCGCCTACCGTTCCTGTGAGTGGATCAGACCGTCCGAAGAGAAATACCGTTGGCGTTTCCAAATGGCGTAGGTCCTGTATATCAGAATAGGCGGAGCTGGCTGGAAATATATGATCATGATGCGTCGTACATATTTATATGAAGCTGTGTCGCGGAAGAAAGAAACGATAAGTCTAGCATCAGCGAAGAATGGTAGTAGAGAGATCCACAAGACGAGACGAGACGCCCAATCCTAGGAACATGCAATGATTATGAGGCAACCCACGATATCTTCTTCTGTCTGCTGCACCGCTATGTTGTATGGGACTGTTGCAAGTAGAGAGCAGAGTAATGTAACAGAGAACTAGAATTAGCCTCTCGAGAGAGAAACGTTCTACTTAAATACATTTCGTATTACTTCGAGATCTTTCTACGAGATACTAAATAAGTCCGGATCACGATCCAAGTCAGCTGCCGCTGACTGGCATCATATCTTCGAGTACATTCTCGTACTCGCTCGGGATTGCTATCCCAACAGGGACGAGGAGCGAACTTGAACATTTGTACTTTTCGGCTGGTGAGATAGTGTCCAAAATGCCAAATATTATTTCAAGAAGAATAAGATTGAACTTGACGTCAATGGTTGATGCCATACGGAAGTGATCCGCTGAAAGTAAGACATCCTCGGGTATTGGAAAGTCACATCAGTGTGAAGAATATCTACACGAGTAGACTTGCTGCGTGCGCGCATTCATGAACACAGCTATACAGTTCGAAACAAGAGTAGCTGCCCGAATGGGGTTTGGGACAAGATATTGGCAGGGCTTCAGCACTGGGTGTATAAGCGATATGCCAAGCTACTCGCAAGTTAGCGGGGGGGGGAGGGGCACCCAAGGCCAGAAAAAAATCGAATTTGGATACTAAAGCGGAACGCTCGAAGCCTTTCAGATAATGGGACAGAACACTCAAAGTTTGCAGATTTTTAAGAGGAAAAGATCACTGGTTGCACGGTTGACGAAGAAAAGAAAAAGACGTGTGATTGGCCAAAAACACTTTTTTTTTTTTTTAATACGAAAGAGAACGTGAACGAAAAAAAAAATAATAATTGTGCGTCCTGGGCGATCAGAGGACGACATTGATAGGGGTGCAGCCAAGGGCGATGACTCCGTTCTGGGAAGGAAGGAACTCGTTAGGACATGGTAGAAACTCTCGGGGACGTGTGAACTTACGAAGCTGTCGTTGTCACAGCAAACGGTCTGCTCGGTGCAACTATTTCCACCCAGTCCAATGACCGTGATGGGCGAGCAGGTCACACCACTAGAGAAGATGGACGGAGCAATCAGGGGACGGGCGAGATGCTGAAGTTGACTTGAAGCTCACACGTTGACGTCCAGATCTTGGAGGACGATGCTGGGGAGTCCAAGCAGGCTCGCGACGTGCGAGGAGGTGGCCTACGAAACGCGAATGGGGAAATCTGGATCGTCAAGGGTGGGGGGAGGGGGGAGGGACTCACAGGCTGGATGCTGTTGCAGCACTGCAGAGAGCCGGTGTTGCACTGGCTCCCAGTAGTGGTGGCCGTGGGGGTGCACTGTCTTTAGGGTGAGCGCGGAGTACGGTGCTTGCACGGCGGTGGGGAGGTTTACCGTGACTGAGGTGGTGAGAGTAGCGATCATCACTACGGTGGTGGCAAAAGCACGAGAGAACATTTTTGTTTTTTTTTTTGAAGGAGTGGTTGTTGGAGAAACGAGAGATGCAGAAGCTGGGGTTTGGTGGATTATCTGGGGGGAGGGGTGGCTTTTATAGTCGTAGAAGACCCCCCCCAGATTTGAAGGTGGATGGTCCTTCGCTTGCACCCCCAAAGTCTAATGGAATTTCCGACAACCACGCCTACGTTGTGATTGCGAGAAACCCAAAGTGACTTGAGCCGAAAGGGCGAATAAGATTCGATGACAAGGAGTTCCGCCTGGGGGTTGTTAGCTCATTTTACTCGTCAGTTTTTGGCTACTGCATTTGTCTTCATTGTGCCTTTTCTCCGTCGCAGCTCGTAGGGCTCTAGAGCTCCAGGAAAGGAAAGGAAAGGAGCCCGTACAATATGCACCAGTCAGCGGGATTCCGAAGCTAAGAATTCCGCTGGAGGTCGATTAACCTTATATCATGACCCAAACACTGTCAACGGAGACGAAGTATAAGTGTTGATACCCTGCCTGAAGCAGGTTTTCGATTACCACTATATCAGAGGAAAGTACTAAAAATAGATCTATAATCCAAAAACGGAGGGAGCCGTGGCTTGGAGCTTCTTAGAGCCGTTCAAACCGAAAACCTGCCTGAGAAAGCTCGGCGACGGTAAACGAGCCAAGTCCTCATTTACAGCCGCTTCGAGAAACAAAGGTGCGAACTAGCTGCATAGCGGAAGTAGATTCTTTGTAGAATGCATTAACGTCAAGCAGGGCGCGTCTGGCCCGAGTTAAAGTTACGTTGAGAATTTAGTGAGCTGTTAGCGATATCGGTTGTGTGTCGATGGGGCAGAGGAAGTTGGAAATGGAATTCAATCTTTATTCGGGATGATTGACCTGCCCTCAAGGGACGTTCACGATCACTTGGACCAAGTCTTATCGGCTTGACGCCCTTGTACGCGTTCCCCTCCCTTTTACGCGCGTATTACACGTCTGTATGGTACTGGGCACCCCACGGGTCTGGCAACCATCGACTCGTTGTTCAATATTTGCGGTCTTCAGTGGCTTCTTACCGTAGCCAATGCCGCGCACCCACCTTCCTGGTGGTGTTGTGGTATACAAGACTCATAGGTGACCGGTGCGGGTGAATACCCGCTGTCGCTCGTTAAACATAGCGTGCCGCGACCTGTTTCTGCCCTCGCTTTTTCATTGGCGTGCCTCCCCTCTGCCCATCGTTGCAAATCCCATCTGAGGTAAAGCTTTCTCAACATTTTTTTTTTCCTTACTGCTGATTTGTTAGTCAATGTCCGCTGTTAGGTAGATCCGGTGGAGGCTGTGTGTCCATAGACGGCCAAGACCACCACCTCGTCGACGAATGGTCATGTTGTCCCGGGATGACGGCACACGGGGGGTAACGATTCACAGAAGGTTGGGATCCCTGCCGTAAACGGTTTTCGTGAGCAACCTCTTTGAAGCTGGTACGGTGATTCAGCGCTGGGTACGTTTAACATCTCCACAAGTTGCGCGCCACGGACGAGTTGGCAAGAGGGATGAAGACTGGGGAAGAGACGGTGGCCCGGTAGATTGGAACTTGCGGAGAGTCGGGTAGCTCATCGCCATCATTCTCACCGTCAAGTCCGTGAACAGTGAGCACCACCACACGGACGGATCTCAAATCACGTGGAGTTTGGCACCGTGACCACCACCAGTGTCTCGAGACGCACCCTGGTCGGTACGGGTCATCATCCATTTCCCCGCTACACCGCCACTAACAACGGACCGATCTGGTTTAGTCCCGAGGACTGAGACGGACACATATAATTCCGGTATCTTATACTCTACTTAAATTTTTCTTGTTCTCGCCATCGTTCCAGTCATTCATTCCCACCAATGGACCGTCATATATTTCCTGAACACTCTTCTCTCGTACTGCGTTCTCTGAAAGGCCTTGTAGGCTCTCACCCGTCTCTCACCCTCCTACCCCAAACTAAGACCGTCATCAACGCCGCACATGACCGCAGTAAAGTCGCGCTGATCTGTGGGGGCGGCGCGGGGCACGAACCTGGGTCGACCGGGTTCGTGGGTAGCGGGTTCCTCTCCGCGTCGGTGAGTGGAGACATCTTTGCTTCCCCCTCTGCCAAGCAAGTCTACACCGCCATCAAAGCCGTCCCCTCCGATGAGGGCACCATCCTGATTATTACCAACTATACCGGGGATAACCTCCATTTCGGGCTCGCGTGTCAGCAGGCGCGGGCGAACGGGATCGACAATGTTGCCATTCTGCCGGTGTGCGATGATGTGAGCGTTGGGCGGACGAAGGGGGCGCTCGTGGGGCGGCGGGCGATGGCGGGGACGATTTTGGTGTGTAAGATATTGGGTGCCGCGGCGGAGGGCGGGTTGACGTTCCGGGAGACGCTAGAGCTTGGTCGGGCTGTTACGGGCGGCTTGCTGTCGATTGGGTGCACGCTGGGGCATTGTCATGTCCCTGGCCGGGATAATGCCAAGTATGGCGTTATTGGCGAGGATACGATCGAAATTGGCTTGGGCCTCCATAACGAGCCGGGAGTGTATGTCGTTAGTCCCCAGCCGGCTCCGGATAGGCTCGTTGACAAGATGTTGGATCTCTTGCTCAATCAGGAGGATAAGGAGCGCGCGTTTGTCCCGTTTCAGGAGGGTGATGCTGTAGTCTTGTTTGTTAATAACAGTAAGTTTCCCTTTTCTTTTGTTGCGTCCCGTGTTTCTGATGGTGGTCTAGTGGGCGGAATGAGTACCCTGGAGATGTATGCCGTTGTTGAAGAAGTGACAAGACAGCTAGGTACGTTTATTCTTCTCGTCTCGTCTCGTCAAAGCTCATCGTTATCCCCCCAGAGTCGCATCCCCTCAAAATTCGTATCGCACGCACTCATTGCGGCTCATTCATGACATCTCTTAATGCTCCTGGGTTCTCTATTACCCTTCTCAATCTATCCTTTGTCGCTCGCGCCCGGAATAACGGCAAGGGTGAGGCGGAGATCATCGAGCTTATTGATGCACCTCATGCCAGTGCTGCCTGGCCGGGGAGCAACCTCTCCTTAGTGCCCGACCATTTGGCAAAACGGACAAGGGAAGAGAGGTTTGTTGACGTTGTGGAGGAGCCTGTCGTCAAGATGGAGGAGAGCTCCACCAAGGTTCGGGGTATGCTGGCGATTTTGCTTCTTTGTTGGTACGATTCTGACGCCTTTTTTTTTTTTTTAGTTGACCCCCAAGTTCTTCGTCGCGTTATCAGAGCTGGCGCGCAGGCTGTCTTGGCTAGCGAACCGGACTTGACGAAATGGGATACTGTGAGAAGCATATTCCGTAATAATGCCATCTTTCTCACCGTTCTTTCACAGATCGTCGGAGATGGTGACTGTGGAGAAACTTGCGCCGCTGGTTCGAAAGCTATATTGAAAGCCCTTGATGATGGTCTTGGAGAAGATGGTGATCTCGTTGGTGTCCTTAGGGATGTGACTGAAACGATTGATGGTCAGTTCTCCTACCGCCCTGCCGTTTTCTTTGGAAACCGGAAACTGATGTGTTTTTAATTCCAGACACCTGTGGCGGGACCTTGGGCGCCATTTACAGCATCTTCCTTGCTGCTCTCACCGCCGAGGTGCGTATACTTGGCGCTGAGGGCCACGAGGTGAACATGGCCATGTGGGGTGAAGCGGCTGGTCGTGCCATCGAGACGCTGGGTCATAGCACGAAAGCCCGTGTGGGGCACCGCACGGTGATGGATGCGCTGATTCCTTTTGCTGAGGGGCTCTCTTCGTCGACAGCTGGTGAGTCAGAGACGGACATTTTACGGGAAGCCATCAGGCGGTGTGTGGCTGGCGGGGAGGGTACGAGGGATTTGGTGGCCAAGTTGGGGCGGGCGACGTATGTTGGTGAGAAGGAGTCGGAGGGAGGTCTTCCTCCTGATCCTGGTGCGATGAGTATGGTTGCGTTTTGTCGGGGCATTGGGGCTGAGTTGTTGTAGAATTATTTTTTTTCGTCTTTGGGGATGATAGCATGGACAATCATTAGGATATAATGCAATAAATAATATTTGATCTCCGCGGATCTTTGAAACCAATTTCCAATTTAATGCTGTAGCGGCGCGTTTAACCGTCCGCACCAATACCACCACCACCCACCACTTATGGACGGTCTGACACCTTCTCAGCTGCAAGCACTGAATCAGCTCCGTGACCTTACGAATGGCGGTGATGACGATGTTGCAATTGGGGTGCTTTCTAGTGTGGAATGGGATGTCCAGGTATGCGGCTGGGTTCAACTTGCTTCCGGTCTAACAATCGGGATAGCGAGCGGCAGACATGATATTTGGAACTGGCTCTGGCTCTGGCTCTCTTCCTCCAAGACGTGTGGAGCAGTTCGAAGTGGACGACTCACAGCAAGGTGTAGATGATGATAACAACTGGCCTCAGGTGCGGTCATGTCCTCGTCCGTCGTGTAACGTGTCTTACCAACCACCACCTCTTTTCACTAGCGGACAACTTTCACTTCCAACCCCCGGCCCTCCATCCTAGCCACCCTCTTCACGTACCCACTCCACGTTCTCTCCTCCATATTTCGATTCGTCTTCTCCGTGCTCCGGATACCCATCCCGCACATCCCGTTCCTGTCTCTGCACTTTTACCGGCCACTGAGGATGTCGAGGGGCGCAGATAGCTGGATCCGCGATCTGGAGGAGGAGACGGGGGCCGTGTGTATCGGGCGAAGGGGTATGGGTGTTGGTGTGGCTTCGGGTGTCGTGGGTGTTGCTGGGCCTTCCACGTTGATGCGGCCGGGCCGTGGGGAGAGCTCGGATGATGGGCGCAAGTACCTCCCTGATTTTTCGTTGGGGACGTATGAGGATACGCTGAGGAGGTGTCAGAAGGAGGCTAGGATTGGGTGTATCGTTTTGGTCAGTGAGGAGCATGATGATGATGCCGAGTTTAAGAGGTTCCGTTATTGTCCCCTTTCGTTTGCTTTTTCATGATGACTGCTGACGCTTCTTCGTTCTAGGACGACTCTGACGGATCCAGATTTTGTCAACTTGCTCACGAATAATGATTTCATCGTGTGGGGCGGGGACGTGCGTGATCTCGAGGCGTACTCTGCCTCGGAGAAACTGCAGGCGTCTACGTATCCGTTTGTTGCTTTTGTTGCGATACAGCCGACGCGGCACTTGCAGTCGTCTTCGCCGCCTCCTACGCTTACGATACTTTCCCGCCATCAAGGCCTTCGCGAGACCACCGCGTCGAAGCTGCTTAACCATCTCCAGGACAACGTTATCCCGCGTGTGCAGCCTTATATGGAGCGTGTCCGGAACTCCCAGCGCGCTTTGGAAAGGGATAGGACGTTGCGCCAGCAGCAGGACCAGGCGTTTGCAGATACGGCGCGGAGGGACAAGGAGCGCATCTTTGCCAAGATGGCAGAGGAGAGGAGAGCTCAGGAAGAGGCTGCGAGGGTCCAGAGAGAGGCTGAGCAGAGGAAGAAGACCGAGTCGGAGCGCATGGTTTGGCGGCGCTGGGCCAGGTCTGCCCTTCTGAGACCTGAGAATCCGTCGGATAGGCTTAGAATTGCGGTGAGGCTGCCTGAGGGCAGGAGGCTTATGCGCCGCTTTGGGCCGGCGGACACGTTGACGGCGCTCTATGCATTTGTGGATACCGAGTTTATCCCAGCCCGGTTTGCTATACAGGATGACCCGCCGAGTCCATCCGAGCCTGGAGATGTTGAGGCTAGGATTGACGAAATGGGAGGTCAGGCGGATTGGTGGGGCTTTACCCTACATTCGGCATATCCTAGAGTGGAGGTACCTTGGGAGCCCAGGAAGAGGCTGGGAGATGTTGCCTGTTTGAAGGACGGTGGTGGGCAGTTGATCGTTGAGGTTGCTGGTAATAATAAGAGGATGGAGAAGGTGGATGATGGGTACGATACTGAGGACAGCGATGATTAGAGTGGAATAAACCATGTTTTATTGTTTGAAACGAATGTATGTCTTTAAACTAAGAAAGAAGCCACAAGGCGACGTTCAACTCTATACAGACGGAAAATCACAGAGACGCTGTGGGTCCGTAGGTAAAAAACTTCAGAACGAAGTACCGCGGCAGGGTCTGATGTGGTTACGTTGATGTCCCACAGACGTAACAGGCTCCTGCTTGGGAGGTATGAGAGCGAGGATCCTTGACTTGGTCTGTGGGATGAGGATAGAAAGAGAGAGGGGGAAAAAGAATGGATTTTATTGAGCTGGTAGAGTACAAAGGCAAGGGAAGGTGGGACGGCGTGAAAATATACAGGTGCTTTGTCTGCTTTCCCACGGTCACGACATTTGGCAGCCACGGTCCCATCTGCATGCTCTGCTGCTTATTGACCATCGTCTCGTCGAGTGGACGGATGATGTCGACGCCTTTCTGACGGATTGAGGGCGCTCTACTGACTTTTCCCATGCTCATAGTTGCTTTCGGAAACCCTGGAGTTCTCGCCAGTGGGGACGTATTGTCCCCGTCACTGTGGAACATATGTTTTATCTGACTTGTCCGTTCCTGACGTCACTATGCCTTGGACGACTTTCATGCTTGAATTTCATGACCATGTCCTTGTCCATGCGGAAGATCCATTTCTTGGACGTCTGTTCCATTGATGTACCATCATCACTGTTTGCTACGAGGGATCCTCTTTCCTGCATCAGTATGCGGCGACCCTTGTCTATTTGCCCCCCGAATGTATCGCGTTCAAGGGCCTCAAAGCTCGTGTTACCAAGGATGCATCCATACCTCCACGAGAAGATCGCCGATCGCCGTATCTATTATGGTCGTATCGACCCCCGTTTTTCTAACGCTTTCCTACGGCACATCCTCGGTGTCCACGAAGGGCCGCTTTCTCGTACTCCAAAAATGGGGGGGGGGTATTAGTACACCTCTCCCTTATCGTCGCTTTGTCTTGTCTTCTCCTTCTCCCAGAGCGATTGTACTTTTGCTGCTTGCAAGGAATGGTGCCCTCATCCTACCTTGTTGCATGTTCTCCAGTCCTTTTCTTGGAGGACAGATCTTACCCTAGATGAGGTCTTCGTCATCGACGCTGGTTGGCTCGCAGATCACTCACCCAAGGGTCACATACTCCGTGGATTCTCCCTCCCAGTTTCCTCGTACGCTCCAGAAATTCATGTCCAAGCTTTCCGCTTACGAGACTTTATTTTAAATTTTTTCTGCCTGTCCCCGAAGCTCTGACTCGTCTCATCATGCACTCGGGATTGAGGTCCATCGTTATCGCCCCTTCTGTGCCTCGACGATGGGCGTCTGCTGTTTTTGCAGGGTCATGGTGGAAGGACGAGTAAACTCGGTTGGCGTTGGCCCCCCGTTCATCGATTGTCGTCGTTTCATTCAAGATATCACTGCTCTAAATCCCCAGGAGATCAATGATCTCTGCTCCCTGCTTGAACAGCATTAGAGTGTCGGATTGTGGGGGGGAAAGTTCATACATGATATTTTGATTATATACAAGGACGAACTGGCGCCTTTAGCGTTATGGGTAGACAGTTCTGCAATACAGGATCGCATCTGTTTTCTTGGTCCCTACAAAGCAGCATGGGTTCTTCGTTGCCTTGTTTGTCAACAACGGCGCAGAAAACATTATTGGCTGGTCTCTTGGGAGGGTCTGCCTGCCAGTGCGACTACTACTACTACAACTTCACTAAAACGCGGGCTATGAGTTTCGCTACTGCTCCATCGAAACTGCAGAAAGTTTGCACTCCCCTCTTTATGCGAATCGGACGGTCTAGGCCTCCAAAACCACATCGACACCCTCACTTGAGTACGACGTGAAAGCCGCACCTGGACACCTCGCGTTCCTACCCTGCGCCATAGCATGAAGAAAATCGTCCCTCGGATTCACTCATCCGCGGCCGACGCAGCGAATATCATTTACTCTTCATGCACCCGGTATCTACATCGTGTCCGGAATTATTACCTAGCATTCGCATTGTCCCTAGAGAACCACCACCACCCAGCATAACAGAACCCGAGCCGCGAGGTCCTTAATCTCTGTGGCGTGGAAAAGAGATCTGTCCATGTCAGAGCGCTCCTTGTGCGCTGGTCGGATGGTTCGGCCGACATTCCCCCCCCCCCCCCCCCCCCCCCCCCCCCCCCCCCCCCCCCCCCCCCCTCCCCCCCAACAGGTACTTTCAATTATAAGGATACAATACAAGTTTCAAAGGTGCGAGTTCGCGTAATGGTTAATGATTCGATGACGTCCTTCCAAACTTGAGGTATTCCATCTGTGAACTCTAACTCTATGCCCGCCCGAATTCCGATCGCTTCTTTGTGGCGCTTCTTACCTAGGCCAGAGTTTGGAACTCCGGTTCAGCTTCCCTTCCTTTCCCCCCTCCCTCGTTGCCGTTCCTTGCAAGTAAACAAAAACACCGATTTGCAGTGAAATGCATCCCATTCCTTGCCGTTATATGTACACCTTCCATCAAAATACATCGGCAATAGAACGAACGGACACAATAAGCATAATCTGACATCCTCGTGTGAACAGCTTCTGAATCTCAAAGCGCCACCTCCTGATAGAGGCGTAATCCAGAATTCTACTCTAGAATCTCAAGTCCAGACCGTTGTTCATTATATACAATCGCATTGAACCATGGTCTGCACCGCCACCATGAGAATACAAAATATACAGGAGCTACATTTGAGCAGTAAGTATATCGCATACAGTAGATATGCCTCGTACTTAATTGAGGCAAGTAATAGAAGACAAGTGATGGGGGGAACAACTAATGTAAGTGGAGGGGAAGAAATATGATAGATAACTGACGACGACAACAAGATGACACGAGCACCGGGAACCGAAATAGTAAATGACGGTCAAAGATGGAGGTCGCTGACAGAGAGTGTATTCGTTCGTATCAATGAAAGTCAGTCTCCTTGGATGCGCGCGAGATTGCTGGTTCGCCCCAACTTGCTACCGCCGGAATGTCTAATTTTGAGCTTTTTCGATTTTTTGCGAAGCGGAATTACTTTTGTCGAATCGGCCGTACGATAAATGTGCACGCAGGACCAAGAACTGGAAGTCGTGCGAGCAGTGGCCTCGGATATAATTCGGGCGGGACTGAGGGCTGGAAGTCGGGCTGCTCTTTGGTTGTTGGCAAGGCAAGGCGAGGCGAGAGCGGGAGGGAGGAAGGCGAGTATCGGATGGAAAAGCAGTGGGAAAAAAAAGAAAGAAAAGGACGAAGAATGTACTAGTAAGTCAAGTAATGTGAAAAATAAGATATTGGTGAACCACGGATAACAGAACAATAAAGAGAGATTCGTGCGATGATGAGGAGGGATTGTGAAAGACAAATAGGTATGAATAGCTTAATACTTTTTAATCCGACAAATCGACCAACCACACAAAGGCTTCAAGTCGACGTGGACGACAACACAAAGAATGGCTGGACATGCTCCGCCAGGTCCCTAGAAACGGCGATCAACCCGACATCGCAACGTCCATCCCGACGGCCGACGCAGGCGGATACAACACAGCAGCATACTGCTGTGGTTGTTGAACGATCATCCCTTGTTGCTGAAATTGCTGCTGCTGTTGTGCATACTGTGCGCGCTGGTGCTCTGCAAATCTTTGCTGATACGCGATCTGGTTCTGGAACTGAGGCGGCTGAGACGGCGGGGCGTACTGCTGTGTATGGTTGGCTAGCTGACCCATACCAAGAGCAGGCACCGGGGTCCCGGTGCGACTTAGACTACCCGAACGGCTGCCCGGTGCACTGCCACCAACACGTATCTTCCTCCCTTCCCTGTCACCTCTGACGGCGCTGGCCTCACGACTGTTACTCGCGCTGCTGCTGCTGCCCCCGTTATTGCCGAGACACTCATGAACTCCACTGGCCAATAACGCCAATCCCACAGCTCCGTGCTCCCCAGAATGCTGGTAGTGGTATCGCAACCCATTCATGTTCTTGTACCTCCTCTGGCAGTCACCAACACCGCAGGCAAAGGGCCTCAGACGCCGTTCAGCCTCCCGCTCAACTTCACGCATCTCCGCATCGGAAATCTGTAGATCAGGATAGGGAGATGTAGGAGTTGACGGATTTGACGGGAGTGGTGTAGAAGGCTGGGAAGGATCGGAGGATTCAGGATATCCGCCGGCTGCCGCTGCCGCCGCTCTGTCTCGACGTTTACGCTCCAAAAGTGCCTGGACATGTTCAAGGTCTTTTGGAGGTGCAAAGTTACAACTGCCGTGTGTCATATGGTATTTTAGACCTGATAGATTTCAAAGGACATAACTAAACTGTCTGAATGAGCTTAAAGAGGTGGCGTACCGTTGGCTTGCTTGTAACTCTTATTGCAATTCGGCTTGGGACACTTGAAAGGCTTCGATAATAGCAACGACGAAGCGGGTCTCGTCACAGAAGCTGACAGACGCAAAGCATTGGGGTCCTTGGATACAACAGGGACCGAAGGAACCCCACCGCTAGCCGGAACACTTGTCGCGGAAGGAGACGTAGGCGATGTACCACCACTAGCCGAAGCTTGTTGTGCCTGGCTATGGGGTGAAGGAACGCGACTCGTGCTTGGTGTACTCTCTGGTGTAGCTGAATTAGAAAAGAGAAGAGCAGGCGGTACGCATTCCTCAACAGCGCCAGCTAGGCTGCTGCTGCTACTGTTGTGGGTACGATGAGCGTCGAGCATGCTGGAGCTGTAAGTATCCATAGCATCCATATTTGAGCCCGGCATTCCAACAAAGGATTCACCATATCGACCATAATTGAACGCATCCACAAGAGGGCTGTGGGAATTATGCGTATGATGCGCATGAGCGGTCGTCAAGTTGAGGTTCAGTTGAGGTCGAGCCTGATGGTGAATGGGACTAGGAGGAACAGGTGTGTTGGCATTGGCAAGCGAGGAGGGCGTGGTTGATATGGCACTTGATGAGGAACGACGAATCAGGGTCTTGGTGTCGAAGGCGGCAACGGGGTGATGTACGCCGGAATTAGGTGATGGTGGCTGCGAAACATATGGTGAGTGAGGGAGGTGCTGCGTCTGTAGTTGGTTCTGAACTTGTACTTGCGACTTGTCCAAGTAGTATGCCGGCTGTTGAGTGGGAATACCAGGTGAGGGATAGGCAGACAAAGGCGTCGTTATCGGGGTGTCCGGGGGCGTGGGAGCCCCAGATGAAGGCGACGATCTCAAGCTTGGCGCTCCAGACGACGGCGGTCCCTCCAGATCCATCTCATCAGGATCAAAGGCGACACCGTAAGAGTGAACGGAGTGCTGTTGCTGCTGCTGCATCGGCTGGGCCTGAGCATGGCCAGGCGACGAAAGTGTCGAAACGACCTGAGGGTTGAATGGAATTTGGAGCTGGGCCTGCGCTTGCGGTGCTGTCGGGTCGATAACGACGACGTGGACTTCTTCAAAGTGCTCTAACAAAGCATGCAGGTCGTTCAGATGCATACCACAGCAGCTGTAGTCTCGACACTGTGGGAGGGCCCGTCAGCCAGAATAGACACTTGACGACTCGTTGAGCACTTACAAATTCACTTTCCCGGTCGAGGGCGCTGAGCGCGTTCCGCACGTCAGAATCGAGCGATGGTTTCTGTCTACGAAATACGGAATGTGAGTGGTAACCAACATGAAACCGAGGCATTCACGTACTCTGGAGACCCAATGAAGTGCTCCATAGGACTTCCTTGGAACCGTACACCCAGCCCAAAGGACGTCGAGCGCCATGATATGGGCGAACCGAGGAAATGTCTGGTGTAAGAAGCCGGATTGAACGAGCCGTTGCCATTGGACCCCGTGTACGAGCCTGAAGACATAATATAGTCGGCATTGTTGGAATTAGAGATATGATTACGGGGGCTGCTGCGAGATGGAAGAGCGATTGGCTGGGTAGACATGGGCGCTATAGGTGCTATAAGATATTATGGATACAGATATACAAAGACTGGAAGGAGAAGCAGAACGACGAGAGGGATAGCGACGGGGACGACGCGGGGGACGACGACGGCGGCAACGACAACAGAGGGAATGAGTGATGAGGGGACGACGGAGTGGTAAGAACCCTCGAGTATTTAGCTCTCCATTGGCTAATCGCATTGTCCTTGTTTGCGGCACTTCCTGAAACCTTCGGTCCGAATCAGTGCCGAACTTGCCGAATACGGATGCTAACCCGTGCACAGCCATCGCATTTATGACCCCGGTACACTCAGACCCCGATTGCTTGGCAAGCATACCTGGTCGGTGAAGACGTACATCTGTCTCTATCTTGCAGTGTATAGCTCTGCTGGGGGAAATAGGATCCTGCTTGCTGGACTTTCTGCTAACAAATACACAGCATATTTGGAATTTATGTTACCATCCCCATCTGCCAGCTTCTCTATATTGCTCTTCTTCCAGCGGTCTGGTACCAGGAAGAAGTCTTCGAACCATAATCTGTCTCGAGACTCTCTTTGCTCCCTTTTCTATCTCGACCTTCTCTGACTCCCTCCATCTGTCTTTCTCATCAATTCGTCAGAACAAAATACAAATAACTTCACCACGTGAACCGTTGAAACCGCAGCCTTTGCGGACATTCCTCTCTTGGCTTACGTTTCGCAACATGTCCATCGTCGATCTCGCCAGCGAAGTGCTTCTCTCCAGGGTCCTCCTCTATTCTAGACCTTACGCATTCTTTATGTCTCTGCGTACCCCCCAGTGTTGATGAGCGGCCACGCCCTTTACACGCTCCTCTATTTCTCCCCTCCGTCTGCCACGAGTGCAATCTTGATGGATCAACTGCATCATCTTGTCGTCCTCTATATCCTCTTTCGGTCCCGGAAATCAGCGTCTTATCTAGGCAAAACGGAAGAGAGCCCATTAACGTCAGTGATCTCGCCGCCGAAGGGACCTGGTGCTGTCTATCTATGTACTACTTTTGTTGCCCATGGCAATCAATGTATAGACGCCACTCTCTCAGGTTAGATTCGACGCAATAACTATCCCTTGATGTCTTTGTGTTTCCCTGCACACATAGATCCCGCCTGGAATCTATCATAATCTTAGGCTCTCGTTCTACTTCTACCTTGGTAGATATTGCCACTAATGCTAGTATCAATCCGAATATGTGGTACAACTGCGGATGTGCAGATGTAAGGTTCCCACAGTGTTAACTCTTTCCCCACAAATCAATGATTTCAGCCGGTAATTGTCCAGAAGGCCATAACGCGATGATTGCATTACGCGTCTGGGACGCTTAGCCGTTTTCAAACGTGCATATCCAACTAAACTACTATGTTTTCTTTTCTTATGATCCACTCGACCGTAACATCGTTCTCTGCTCTACGACTCCACATGCGCGTTGGGGACCTGTGATTTCCTATCTCATCTACGACTCCCAGTTGTTCCGGGTCGACAGTCTGCTTCTTCGAGGCATCCATATGAGTTCTATCACAACGATTCACATGTTGCATCGGATGTTCTGCCGATGTTCATTGGTAATTCCGTCGCTTTGCGGCGATTTACCTGCCATTACAATGTAATACCCAGGAACTCAAGACAGTTAAATGCGCTTGTGCAGCCTTTGGATAAGAAGCACCAATGATTCGGGACAAACTGGCCGACCCTGAGGACCTTCACCACTCTGATTGGCGGTCGCATGGTAAATATATCTACGGCTGTAACACACGCGTAAGAACTACATTGTTCGGTCTCGTGGTCACAAACAAACCACTCAACGCGTCTCAAGGAATTACATATATCACTTCGCCAGTCAATCCGCCCATTCGTATGACAACCCCACTGACGACGTCACTATATATTGTCGGGGCCCGTTCGTTTCCCTGAGCCATCACTCTATTATACCAACCACCTCCTCGGTGCGAACCGGCCACCGCACAGCTCAGAACGTCTTGGTCAAATTCAAATCCATGTATATACAACCATTCAACCCTATAGACTTGTTCTTGATCCTTTGGGATCGGGAGTAGGTTGGATTCGACGACTCTCTTCCTTCCGTGGCGTCATGGTGCAACGCTACAACATACCTCCATAGGGCTTGAGCATATGTACCACCTCTGAGTCAAGCCGCTTACCACTTATCCCAAATGTCAAAGGTCCGAGGCCGGTTATTGGCAATGTGCTTTGGACTTGATACTGTGTGTGTCGTTCGCACGCCGGTGTTCCCTCTCTGTGTTAAACCGTTACGGATCTGCTTTCTGGAACTACACCGCTGCATGGATCCGAGCTGTCTACGTTAGCGAATACCGCCGCTTTCCTTCTGAGTCTCCACGGCGCCATTTGTAATCACGACAACGTCAAGTAACCTATTGATTAACTTTACTTGGATTCCAGCATTTATGTGCATCAACACTGTTACGATGTGTCAAGGACTATTTACCTACCAGACATCCTTGGCACCAAGGAAGGAATCACAGCACTGAGCGAGTTCATGGAGAACACGGGAGCATTCACCCGGACGGGACAACCACAAAACGAGAAGCTCGCTCCAGAGCCAGAAGAGGAAGGAGGAGGATGGTGGTGGGAAGAAGAGGGCGACACGGAAGACGAGCATGGATAACTGCCGCGCACCCACCACACCATAGACCATGTCCAGCACAGCCAGCACTCAAGACACGCTCGCAAAACACCCCAGGCTTCAGCCAACCGCAGGATCAAACGAACCAATTAGCCCACCATGAGGGCACAAAATACCATACATGTCCGTTACTCTACTCCACACTACACGCCAAAACACCCGGGGAACTCAGAAGGAAGAACGGAGGGACTGGAACAAGAGGGAAAGAGGATCCTGAGGCCCTGTACCTCCACCGCGTCTTAGTAGTTAGCTTACTTGTTGCGGTTAATCAAATGCTGAGGACAAAAAAAAAAAAAACAAAAAAAAAAACACTGTTACGATGCCATGTGGTCGCCGGCGTAAATTCCTGGATTTACCACTAAGCTCTATTTAGCTGATCTGCGGTCGAAAGTCTCGACTACTTGGGACGAGGACATTCGCTGCGACGTCGATGACATGGGTCCATGATGTGCACATGGAGTCGCACACTTCACGTGCTGCAGCAGCTGAAGAAGTAGGTTTTTAAGTGTGACGTGGACTAAAAATGAATCTCCTCCATATTATAAGTAGACATTCCAGTTCTCTCTCCATTAACTAGGATAGATCACTCGGAGTCCGATAGAAAGTGTGTCATTCTAACGCCACGGACGTATCCGCCATCTGATCATCACTGTCACGGATTCTTCCACCCACCGTCAAAGTGCACGCGGTGACTGCAATTAAATAAGAGACTGAACTTAACTAAACGTATCGTACTTCTTGATACAAAGTCTGAATAATTAGATGATGAACCGCAGAACGACATGAATTTCAGCTGACTGGAGTGATGGTGGCACAGCAAGAGCGGAGCCTCAGCACATACGGGCATCGCGTTCTCCACGGCACCGATAAGTTATCGATGTATGGCCGGCTCTTAAGGTTTTACGTTATTCAGCAGTGATGAGATATTCGTCGCTGTATCATGTCAACCCGCCCACAAGACAGGAAAGATGTAAACACGTGAAGGGCGCCAATCGGAGGGGGAAGGTACAAGATAGAAGGCTCTCACACTGGGAGTATTCATGGCACTTGTCCAAATGCTCTTCCCTTCTATGGCTGCGACCCTCGTTAGCGAAGTTATATCGATCCAATCGATCATGATCGTGCATAGATTTAACGGACAGAACAATGTTGTAGCCATGTCTAAGGGTATAGAGCGCCTAAGATGGAGGTACCCTGGCAGTTTCGGAGACAGTAACTTTGCATTGAAGAGAAAGATCCGAGTTCACGACGTGACTTCATTAAACCTGAGAAAGAAGCAACTCTCATGAGAAAACTTGGCCTTCAGAGGCGCTGGGTTCTGGGTTTGTCAACACGGCTTTAGTCGTAGCTTCGCTCTTGAGTGTGAGAGTACCATCACGATTTTGAATGAAACAGAAAAACAGCCTCCCTTTATAGCAAGCTAAATGGACTTAAGAACCAGAAGAGATGAGAAATTACAGGCTAAAGAGTCGCTCCGGTAGATGACAGAGTTATGTCAACGGCTGGAGGCCCACGGTAACTTCATTGAACCTAGAAAAAATTAGGGCTAGACCCGTAACTTCTGATGTTTCTGCGACACCATTTGAACACTCACATACCTCCGTTCTATATCTGAGATAGTTGAGCGCAATGTCATTGGCCTAGTGAGGCCTAGTACTAAGAGCGAAGGAGACGGCCGACGAATCCCGACGTGCCTTTTGTTAAGGGCCCGTCAAAAAAGCCGATCTAGCCGATGTGCAGCCGCCCCACAATCATGATGGATGCATTTGTTATCGCGTATCTCTCGTTCATCTGTGCTGGTTCATCGCAGAGTGAGCAGTGCATCCGATTCGACGACGTCGTGCCCTACTTTTGGCTCTTACAATAATGGCCGTTTCTTCTTCAAACGACGGCTACGTCCCTCTCACTAGCAGGCTATTGAACCCAAACGATAGTTTGATGGTGGACGGGTCTAAATCCAGATGGCGTCGTGTAGTCGAAAATGCACAGAAGATTACGCGTGATAATGTTGGCCTTCTGCTTGTGACTTTGTCGCAGCTCCTTCTCTCGGGCGTCAATGTTGCGGTGAAAATGCTGAATGGAATAGACCCCCCAATAGGAACATTGGAGGTAGGCATGGAATAACCGGAAATTCACGTTGTATAAAACATTATTTAACAGTTTATCGTCGTCCGAATGGTCCGTTCGTTATCGCGTCTTCCCTTTGCTCGAGATTTCAAGACGAGTATTTGACAGGCAATAACCTACCTCTGCAGTGTCGGATATATGTAAGGCGCGATCTTATATATGATCTAGGAAATATCTATCGCTATCTCCCAAGGGTTTTCGCAGGCATCAACCATCCATTTCTTGGACCGAAAGGAGTACGACTATTACTCGTCTTCCGGGGTTTTTCGGGGTACAGTCGTCAATTTCACAAGCACGGTATCCGTCTGACAAACATCGCCTCAGTTTCTTTGGGTTGTTTGGCACATATTTCTGTCTAAAATACCTCTCGCTCTCAGATGTTACAGTCTTATCATTCCTTGCTCCATTTTTCACTGGGATATCTGGAGCCATATTCCTAAAGGAAAAGTATAACTACAGAGAGGCCTTAGCAGGACGTGCGTGTCTGTTCTTGTGACATACCATAGATGCTAAACCCGAGTTACTAAGCAGTAAGCAGCTTGGTTGGCGTCGTCCTCATTGCAAGGCCGACCTTCATTTTCGGACACCTAGGAGAAGAGTCTAATCTGAGTGCTGTTAGTGATGGAGTGCCCTTATCAGGGGTGCTTCAAACGGTCGTAACACCCCAGGAGAGACTCACCGCCGTAGGGTATGAGAAAAATCCGTTATCAGTAACAGTTTGCCACGGCTAATACAAAATTCAGTGTCGCACTTATTGGTGTTCTAGGCTCCACAGGCGCTTGTGAGTACAATGAATGTCGTGTTACTTCTCTGTCAAGCTGACTGGCATAGATACGTCCTTATGCGCGATCGGTAAACGCGCCCATGCTCTACATGCCTTGGCTTCGTTCTCTATGCAAAGCGTCATCGTCGGGTCTATCGGGTAGGCACTGAAGCTCACGATCAGGCATGCGGGCTCATACCTCTTCTCTCCAGTATGATAGTAATGCGTACGCCGTTGGTTATCCCGACTCAACTCTCATGGGGAGCATTGTTGGCTGTGATAGGTTTTCTGGGCTTCTTTGCTCAGGTTAGGTAGCTTCTGAGCCATGCTACATATAGCTAAAGTCTGACAGGTTGCCTTGACTATGGGACTCCAGCGAGAAACGGCGGGGCGTGGTACGATAGCCATCTATACTCAGGTATATATAAGCTCTTGTTGTGAACTCATGTATTTATCTCACACCTACCCAGATTATCTTTGCATCGTTTGCAGAGAGGATATTCTTCCACACTACATCCCAGGTGCTTTCTGTATTGGGGACCATTATCATCCTTTCTTCTGCGTTATACGTTGCTGTGCGTCTTGTATTTCTCCTCATCCTGCTTACAATTTTATTTCTTACTTATAGATTACGAAGAGGAACCGCAAGCAGGCTTGCAATACCTCAGACGATGATATTTCACTTGAAGAGGGTCTTCTCAGTGGTTCAAATGATGATAAAGATGTGTTTAAATCAGCTGCCCCCGCCGATTCGGAGGGACATTCTTCGAGTCAGAGTATTCTGGAGTCGGATTACGATTCAGCTGTGGAAATTGCGAGTCCTACGCCGTCTTGCTCTGATTCTCAAGAGGTGATCCTTCAGAACCCGACAGCTTAGACCAATCATGGTAGATTCCAACGGGGTAAAGATATTATTCATGCTCCTAAATCTATATGTTGTATTTCATTAGTGATTCTTAGGGTTTATTAGGCGACGTAAAGCCAAAGTGCCGGAAAAGCTATCTACCCCTTGCTTTCCCTCAGGCGAACCCAGGATTTGTGAGAGAAAGCATTTTGTGACGATTCGGAGGGCCAGCGGGAGACTTCGGTCCATTTTGGTTCATCGCTTTACAAACTACGCACAAGGAAAGAATATTTCACTGGCGTATAGTTGATAAAGCCTTCCACAATAAATGAAACTCGCCGATTCATCCGCATTGTTCAACAAGATAAATTCCTGCAACCCCTAACTTGTTTTTAGCCCTAACCCTAAGCTTGATCAGACACGTCTTTACTTATACCGTCACCACCGCCCTAAATTCTTGGTATTCACAGTAGGGAATCCATCGTCGCCTGCTGAAAAAATGGTATGAAATGTTACAATATTCTTGGGCATTGCTCATCCTGCGTAGGTCGTACTAGCAGCGTCAATATGTACAAAAGGCGGTAAAGGTATGCACTTACCGCTATCATGTCCTCGTTTCGCATTTATACCTTTTCAGCCGTCGTCTCTCGCCAGTTCCGTGACATGACTCGAGCACGAATCGAATCTCTCCTCGCCTCGTTCCCAAAACTCATACCCACCAACACCCAACACACTACCGTCGAGACCTCGGAAGTCCGTTATGTCTACCAGCCGCTCGAGGACCTGTACATTCTTCTCATCACCAACAAGGCCTCGAATATTTTACAGGATATCGAGACGTTGCACCTCTTCGCCCGGGTGGTGTCGGATTTGTGCAGGACAGCCGATGAGAGGGAGATCCTCATCAAGGCCTTTGACATACTGGGCGCTTTTGATGAGATTGTGAGCTTGGGATACAAGGAGAACGTCAGCCTCATGCAGGTCAGGAGTGTGCTGGAGATGGAGAGTCACGAAGAGAAAATCCAGGAGATTATCGCGAGGGTGTGTTACACTGAAATATTTTCCCAGTTCGTTGCGTTTATCCTTTACCCCCAGAACAAAGAGGCGGAAGCCAAGGAGGAGCTCAAGAGGCGTGCCAAGCAGCTTGAGATGCAACGACGTGAGCAGCAGCGTCGCGCAGCTTCTACTGGCGGCATGAACGCGTATCTCGGTGGTGGGCCCACTGGATACTCTCAGTTGCCGAGATTCGATCTCCCGGAAGCCACACCGTCAAGAATCACGGCTTCCTCTCCAGGGCCAATTTCGTCGCGCGCACCAGCTTTCAAGGGTTCTGGTATGAAGCTGGGTAGCAAAAAGACGAAACAGGCAGAACTGCTTGATGCACTGGGTGGTGAGGTCCTGGCGCCGCCTACGCCTGATGTTTCTGCGCCATCAACGCCTACAGTTTCCTCTGAGCCTTCCCACCAAAATGTGGGGAGAGGGAGCCTGCCAGAAGTGGAGGCTGAGAGGTGTGCTTATTCTGAGCCTTGTCTTTGTAGTCGATGTTGATCTTACTCCAGCGTCCATATTGTTATCAAAGAACAGCTCAGTCTTTCGTTGCATCGTGACGGAGGCTTACAGTCTATGGAGCTCAAGGGCGATATGAACCTTCAAATCTCCGATGCCGAGTTTTCCCATATCAAGATTTTGCTATCGAACCCAACGACGGACTTTGGCGGACATCATCTGCAGTTCAAGCACCATCCTAATGTTCTCAAGTTTTCTTCGGGACAGCAGGATCGTGTGGTCGCGCTGAAGGATTCCAGCAGGGCTTTCCCTTTGCACCAGAGTATTGGTGTGCTCAAGTGGAGATATGCTGGTACTGACGAGAGCAACGTCCCTCTATCTAGTACGTCCTTCTCTTTTCATGACATGTGTTATTTGTATTCATTGTTCGCTTCCTTCAGTTAACTGCTGGCCCTCACCGAACAATGATGGAACGTGCGAAGTTAGCATCGAATATGATCTCGAAAATGAAAACGTCTCTCTGTACGACGTGGTCATCTCGATTCCTCTTCCGTAAGGCTCTATTACTTGGTTGGCGCGCAATTTGTTGAAGTATTTCTCTCTGGCTTTTAGTGATGGTTCATACCCTACTGTCTCCTCACATTCGGGCGAGTGGTCACTGGAACCTTCGTCTCACTCTCTGGCGTGGACCATGCCTCTCATTTCTGGCTCAGATGACACGAAGACTGGGTCGATGATCTTCACTGTTGGGGGTGATGATACGGGCGCTTTTTTCCCTGTCCAGGTCAGCTTCATTGGCGAGGGTAGCTTGGCGGGGGTTTCTGTTACGAGTGTTTCCAAGATTTCGGGCGAGGAAGTGGTGTACTCGGTCGATTCGACGGTCACCGCTGATACGTATTCTGTTGTGTAAAAACTTATATTTTTCTCTTATATAATTTTACTATCGGTGCAAGAAAAGCAGGGTCACCTTTGCATATGACGTACTTCCGTTTTGGTTCTTTGCGTAAATACCATGATGCTTGTGTTTCCTTCGCTTTCCTCTCACCCTTGATATATGCACCATCCACAGCCTTGTATATGGCGAGCCTTTCCATTCCAGCAGTGTTGCCGGCTGAGGACCTACCCATTGCAGAGGCTGGTGCGTTTTTGATAGGTTAAAAATGGGACTTTATTCCGAGAAAGGCTTTGCTAACTCAACCAAACCTTTTAAGGTTACGCTAAAATGCAATGACCTCTGCTGTGAGCCTCTTGGTCATCTTCAAGTGACGAGGATACACCGGTCACCGACAAATCCTTCAAGATTCAGTAGCGTCTGCAGAGTCTTTGAGGCGAACAGTGGTGGATATACGTTGCTTGTAGCTCAAGCATGTATGTTTTCGTCCGCTACCACGGCAGCAGAGTCCCGTCAAACTGGAAAAACTTTGCACTATCCTCTCTCTTCAGCCCTTCCACGACACGCACAATTCCCTGCGCACTATCCTTTGGTTCAATTCCTCCTCCCAAGAGCTTGCCCATATCAGTTGCGACCCATCCCGGGTGCACTGGCACTATGATGAATCCTTCCTTTTCCAACTCATTATGGTACTATACCGCCAGCATATTGCATCCAGCCTTGGTGACAGTGTATGGCCCCATGAAGCCAAATGTGTTGCCAATCTGAGTGTGCAGCGACCCAGCCCTGGAGGAGATGAAAACAATCTTCTTGTCTTCACCTTTTCGGAGCGCAGGGAGGAAGGCGGATACAACGCGGTGTGGACTGACGACGTTGATAGAGAGGTACTCGGCTAGAGTATCTGTGGAAGTGGATAGCAGTCTTCAGGGTGCGCCTATGGCAGCGTTGACGATGATCACGTCGAGCTCCTTCACAAGAGGGTGCTGCGCTGCCGCGGCAATCGAGTCATCAGAAGAAATATCGACATCAGTAAGAGTGTCGATGCCTTCGAGCGGGATAGAGCCGCGCACAGTGGCGATAACACTGATTGAGGATCGGCTTCGAAGCTCTTCGACAAGGGCGAGACCCAACCCTCGCGACGCGCCTACGACTAGGACTTTGGGCATAATGGGTAACCAAGTAAGGGTTTTCAATGCTTTGGGTCCCAGATGCTAATAAATGTACACTAGATGCCATGGAAATCATTGGAGTCAAATCCATGCAGTACAGAAGAATGCAAATCGACGTACGAACGTAAAACGAGCATATTGCGGCTATGACCTATGTGTATCCCTTTCCAATGAAAGTAGGTATGCCGTAGCGTCCGTCAATTTAATGACTTTTTCTAGTTCCGAATTGGATGCTTTGCGTACAACGAATGAAGTGCAGCCCAGTCCACCGTGGCATTCGCCAGCGGCTGTCTCTAGACTTTACGTATGAAGCTCAGTTATAATGACTTCTAGACGCAACGGAGGCTCTATCGGGTACAGAGCACATAAAGTCTATCATTTACCAAAGAGCCCAGCCAGGCCCCATATCCGTTCCAACCCACCCCGGATACACCGCCATGACCATGACCCTTTCTCTTTCGACTCATCCGCATATTGCACAGCCAACAGGTCCAATGCCGCTTTGCTTACTGAATCGTCGCTGAGCGCACCCTCCGTGTTGGAGACGCTACGATGTGGAATGACTCTGAAGGGGGGGGGGATAAGTAGATGATTTTCCCTCCTCTTCGACGGAGAGCGAGGAGAAAGGCGGAGATGATGCAGTGCGGGTTCGTGGAAATGGAAGAGGCGTCGAGTTCTTGGACAAGAAGGTGCTATGCCGCTTTGGCGATGGAGGCGTCAGAGATGACGTCGACGTCGGTGATCGTGCTGATGCCTTTGAGTGGAGTGGTACTACGAACGGTGGCTATGACGGTGGTGTTGGGGTGGATTTGGAGCGCTTGAGAAAGGGTGAGTCCATTACCGCGTGATGCGTCGACGAGGAGAACTTTAGGTATCGTTATGTTCAAGTAAGCCCATCCGAGACTTTGAGTTTTTGTGATGTCTGAGTCTGTTTGCCAGTTTGGAGGTGGTCAATCGTCCGACCGTCTACCTTTCACTGGAGTACTGGTGCACCATCAACAGCGATCTACCCGTCACAAATTCTGTCAGCGCCATAGCGGGATTTTAAGATTGGTTACTTGCCGGTCGTCGACCTCGATGGAAGACGTCCGAGTGATATGTGCTGGTAGGAGACGCGTAAACTTTCATTATACTGGACACGAAGGCGCCACCAAAACCACTCTGACCAACCAAAATATGCCTGGGATCAAAAGCAAGGCGTCAGGTCTTCCTCAAACCTTGAAAATGCTTTCTACCCTTTAGACTAATCTAAGCTTGGCCGCGACTGGATCATCTCCCTTTCCTTGGGCCATCATCTCTATTATGTCTGCACAGGCATCTGCAGGCCTTTTTTTCCAGAGACGCATACGCCAGATCTATCCCTACTATGGCGAGGTGAAGATTGGAACAGTGTCGCATTGCTTCGAACACAGACGATATTTTTATCGTCCATGATGACCCATCGGGCCTTTGCAACTCAAGTGATAAGACGGTCTCTAGCATCCTCCTACAATTCTTCAGATCTGGGAAGTAGTCCCATTCACCTGGAAGATCTCGAGCTCGTTGCCACGTGCCTTCCGACATGCTGTTGTACGATCAAGTACTTCTGCAATGCATATGTCATATTCTCGGTTTTGTAGAGTGCGTCCTACTATTATAATGGCAGAGGAGGAGAGAAAGAAGTATGTGGAGCACGCTATGATGATGAGCTACATAATGCATATCGCTATCTGTGAACACGAATACAAAAAAGCTGCAATTCTGTACACCATTTGTGTGATTCTGCACATGACAGGTAAGTAACAGTGAATTACTATATGAAACCACTCCCCTTGGGGAGGGGTGGGTGAGAAACAGTAACTGACCCCCTTGAGGTTTCCTGAGCAACCCTAGTCCAAAGTCCACTATACTCGTTGAGTGTTAAAAGAGAAAAATGAAACCTAGATATCACCATCATGAGGCTTGACTGGAAATTGAACCCAGGACCTCCTCGATACTGTAACAACGTTCCACCCCAACAAGGAATCATACTACTAGACCACCAAGCCGACACGCAGATGCAAGGCGGAAACTACTCGGACATGTCTTAATACGGGGCGCGCATGACCGGGATCGGAATGGGAACTGTCTGATGCCCGTGGGGGAAGAGCTACGGGATTGTGGGCTTCGCAGGGGGGATACATTTCTTGGTCTTCGAGATTCTCGAGGGCCTGTTTGGGAAGAAAATTGGAATTAGGAGGTTGACTGGAAAGCGAGGACTGTCGGACGTAGCAGCATTCAACGGTTCTTCGTCCAAATCAACGGTTCTTCGTCTCAATAATTTGGCGTTTGAGACTGGTATTTATGTGTATGTCATCAAGAGAGTCATCTCTGAGTCGGGGACGGTTCTGTCTCTGCAATGCGGCGGCGCGGGAAGACTCGACTTGCGCTTCTGCGCGACCTCCTTCTTCGACATCGGTTTTAACCCGCTTGGGACTGGTACACGCGTCTTCGTCTTCAGAGGAACGGGGGCGCGTTCGAGGAGATTTTGCTGTCGAAGTCGAAGCATCTGACGCGTCAGATTGTCCTGCATCATTGGTGGCCCTACAGGGAAGGAAACTGTTGACATTTATCACCGTAGACACGACAGAGCGAATGACATACTTTGGAGGAGGCATCAGTACGGTGTACACGTCCTCTATCAAAGTGTCTGAGGCTCCCTTCATCTTTGTCCTGTTGTCCGTTAGACAAGGTTATGTGAAAGTATGAAGAAGAAACACACGCCCAATCCAGATCTCCAAACTGCGCCTTATTTATCCCAGCTCACCACCTTGATGCAAATCATGAAATGAAGCAGAGATATACATAGAGAACAAGTACTTACGGAGAAGGCTGGATCTTTTTGTGGGTGAAATTACTGCTACTTTTGATGTTGCCACCAGACTCGCCGCCGCTCTCTTGATCGCTAGCATCATCATTGGTATCTACCAAATTCATTATCCGCATGATCTTCTCCGTGTATGCCTTCTCACAGATGCTTGTAACAAACGTCATGAGCGACGCAGTCTTCGCTCTCTCCCCTTCTAGAGCTAGGCTGGCCTGCGTGTATAGGAGGGCGGCTTTTGAGACCGCCGTCCTCAGCTCCGCCAGCGCGCCGTGTACCTCTGACCTCCCATCTTCTAGTTTGCGGGCCTCGTCGGGCAGGTCAACGCTAGAGTTGACTGGGAGGCCGTCAGGCGGGTAATAGTCCAACGTAGGAACCGAATCATTCTCTTCGACATCACCTTCAGGCGGGTCAGGAAATGTCTCGGCGGTGGAGTACCGCTCAAGTCTCCAGTTTCCGTTGAGTTGTGCTACCCAAACATGATTGGCAAGTAATGGAATTGGAACAGGATTGGATGTTGCGGGGAAGAGCCGCTTCGTGATTGCAGGCAGATTATACGAATCAAAGGTGCCCCTATGGAATGCAACGGTGTGAGGTATATTATGAGCCTGGCAGATAGAGATTAGAGAAATTGAACGGGGTCGAAGAGACGAGACTCACGGCGACATAGTCTGAAATAAGGGTCTTGTCGGTTGGTTCGGCGAAATCTAACTTGGATATAGACATTGTTAGTGCGTTGGTGGAGGGAAGGATCGTGTGGAGAAATAGCTCACGCCCTGTGTATCTTATATATTATAGCAAACAGAACAAAGGAATAAAGAGGGGCGCGGATCGGAACAGGAACAATAAAGCAGCGGTGGCCTTTTTGAGACCATGGTTGCATTGTTCTCGGCTGGTATCGCCCATGAACTAGCGTGTAGTGATATAGGATACCTGCCAACCTGCATATAAACGGTGCGTGAGAAAGTATTACTAGCTCTTAGTGAATTGTGATCCGTGGTGGGACTTTGTTCCGACCATCACCATCATCCACATGTCTCGCCCCGCACCGCCGCCAGGCTTTGTTCAGCTAGTTTTGTTGCCTCAAGATTCGTTTTACTTGGAAGTTCCTATGCAAATCGCAATGACGGTCTGTCTATACCCGTTAAAATATCTTCGGTATATTGGCTGGTGCGTCCTAGGCGTTAGTGGGACCCTGGTCGATGAGACTGGGGATGCGGTAGAATTGGACGGCGAGCTGGTGGATCGGGGAGTCTACCGATACGATGTGCCTGGTGGAAACATCCTCTCTCACGCAGTTGACCCCGAGGTCATCAAACAGCGAACCCATACGCACTCCGCAACTACAGCTACCCGCGAAAACTTTCGTGAGAAGGTGTTAAAGCGCGATGGTCGATGTGTGTGGACCGGCATTGATGAAGGGGTTGGGATGCATATTATTCCTTATGCACGAGGCGACGAGGCATGTCCACGTATTGTTCCCTTCCATGTCACTTAATTTGGTTTTTCCTACAGTGGATACAACTTATCATCGAGAACCGGCCACACGAAGAGGATCTGACGACACTGCGCAGCATCAATGATATTCGCAACGGTTTTTATGCTGCTGCTGATATTCATGTCCATTTCTTTGACCAACAGAGGGTTGCCGTGCTTGTCGTTCGTCTGCTCTTCTTTTCCCTTCTTATCTTTTCTCATTTACATCAGACTCCAAATCCTATCCTGGACACCACCGATATCCCTAATCGCTGCCAGCGTCGGCTAGAAGACGACGTCAGTTACCCGCCCAATTCTCGATATACACTTCAGTGGATCACTATTCCGAGCAGCAGATCTACTCGGGAGCGAATACCTAACAACAATGATGCCACTTTTGCGAACCGTCGACAAAAGCCTGCCCGACTCTTGCTACATTATAGGTATGGAGCCGCTGCCGTGAAGAATTGGGGCAAGAACGTTGCTGTTCTCATCCAATATCACCAGCCTAACCGCCCATCAGTACCTACCCCGGCGCCAATGGGGCCATCGAAGGCAAAACATGTTCGTAGCGTCAGTATCAAGAAGCGTGAGAAGCGGAGGCGGGAGGAAGAGCGAGAGGGAGCTGGAGCTGGAATGGAGCAGGCAGGAGGAAGGAATGAAGGGGGGACTAGTGCAGCGACGGCTGTAGAATCAGAGGCTCAGGACATCTGGGATGAGCATGATGTTATGCTATTTTTCTGGGGTAACTCGAAGGCAGCACAGGAAAGACGTGCCAAGGAGGAGGCAGATCACAGAGAGTACTTGGAGAAATGGAGGTCTGGAATACCCAGAAACCCACTCAATGTATAATAGCATGTATAAACTTCTCTGCGTGTTGTCATGTTTCGAGAATGGACTCGGACATTAATATTGTGCTTGTCAACGTTACCAGCGACGTTTAGCACCAAGAGTCTATCGATTATGCACCTATTAAACAAGCTCCCAGCCGCGCTGACAGGAAAGAGATGAAGATCCGTGAAGATGCTAAGATTGGCCGTCTACGGAAGAGAATATGTTGGCATCGGTCGTATAGACTCAACAGTGTAGTGTTTGGGGGGTTTAAAGACACCTC